CTTCAAGAGCAAGCTACAGTTTTGGAAGTCCCAGAGCTCTCTGTTTTGATTAGTTAAAGAACCTTTGACTTAAAGAATATGAAATATTATACTGTAGTCAGTAAAAATTACTAAGAACCACATTGGAGAATGCTATGTATCACCTATATTCCTGTAAGGCATTATTATCTTCAAATTCTGCTCTTCAGATTCTTGGTGTTGGGAAGGAGGGCTGGCAAATTACGGGGAGGCAAGACAAGTTTAAAGATATAACAAACACATTTTATCTTACAGTGAAAATTCATTAATAAGTCTTCATGACTTTTTTTTTAAAGACTTTTAATTTTGTAATGACTTTTTAAAAAAAATTTTGCCAATAAAAATCATTACTGTGTAGAAAAGAGTTAGGTCCCTAAACATTGTTTGTTTACAATCACCTTACCTTTTCAAAAGTCCTGTATATTTTAGTATATACTACCACCTGAGATCTTTCTATATTTTTCTTAAAGAAATAAAAAGGAGGCAAGCAGCAGCAGAATTAAGCACTACACTTGTATGCTCAGGTGCCTCAAATATTGCTTGACACAGCAGTATGCATCTATCATCCCACTTTTTTTTACAGGTGTGAAAAAGATGTGACTACCAGAGGCATTTAAAAGGTCTTACAAAGTTCCTCAATCTCAGGCAAGAAAGAAGGAAGGAATAGTCTGTGTGTCTTCTCCAAGGTTTCCATAGACCTTTTTTAGATTCCATTTCTGGAGGTATTATAATTTAATTTTCTTTTCCATATATTCCTTCACAGACACAGAGCCCTTGTCAATATCAGAGTTGGCCTAATGTTTCTTAATAGTGAAGATACAATTATTCTCTCTTGCCATGATTTTGTCTTCATTTGTGCAGGCTCAAGATGAGGTAAAGGGAGCACTATGAAGGATCAATATGGCTTCTTGTAGGCTACTTTAGGAAGACTAAAAGGTCACTGAATTTTCCAGGATCATTACAGAAAAATCTAAGGCCTAGCAAAAAAACAACAGAGGATTTTGGATGCTGAGGTATAAACTGAAGGTAAGACAACATGCAGATTACAGTTTCCAGAAGAGTGTTGAAGAGAATTTTTGAAGCAATTGTTGAAAATGGAACAATTTCTTTCTCAAGCTTTTCCTATGTCCATATTTCCCTTCTGTTACCTACTCAAAGTTAAAATTTGAGTTATAATGACATTCAAACCAAGTCATGTTACCTACAAATTAAGACGAATTTGAATACTTACAGAATTTTTGCTGATAGACACTCAATTGTCCTTTTAAGCCCTCAAATAGTCAATAGCAGGTATACGTTGTTTAAATAAATAATTAAAGTTCATAATATATTGGGAATCAATGTTAAATGTCCTGAAGGAGAAAAAAAAAAAAAAAAAAAAAAAAAGGGGGAGCTTCCAGATTATGAAGATTAAAGAGAGTTTCCCTGAAACTGCTTCTCTTTGCAGAAGCTGTGGTGAAGGCTGTCTAGTCTGATAGGTAACAGAAATGCCCTTGGAAATGCATGGGATGAGGAGAGAATTGTGCTACTTCATCACATTGCAGCTATTTTTTTCTTTTAAAACCAAGTTTTTTTCTTTTTCAGTCTAGGTTGTTGTGCCTGTCCCTTGTTTGGACATTAGGAAGCATAACAAGTCTACTGGGTCCTGTTCCTTTAATTTAAAATTAAATGAACACTGCAAAGAGGTTTTAGCTTTGGAGAGCCTCAAACAGGTTCATGCGAGCAGTATGAGTCTATTCGTGTAAGTGTACTGACCCCTAGTGACTGTATCACTACTTAAATAATTTACAAAGAAAAGTTTATTTAATTTTAAATAAAACCTCCCTATACAGGAGAATTTCTATCAAGAAATATCTTCACTGGAAAGAAACTGTAAAATATCCCTCTTACTTGAGATGCACATTGACATATTAATTGTATAGCTTATTTAAAAATTGAGTGTGGCATAGATCTTGGGAGTTACTGGTTTTAATTTAGCCAAGTAAGGTTGCTCATGAATGCAGCATTTCAGGTTGGGAGCTTGGCAGGCTTAATAAAATAGAGGTGGTACTATTGTTTACCTGTTTACCACCTAACATGTTCACATATGTGATGTGGGTTTTTCACACACATCATCTGGAAAAACTATTAACATATTTTCACATGTATAAGGTAAAAACAAAGAATATTTTCTTTTCCCTCGACCATTCAGTTCAACAACAGATGGTGCATAGGTAACACAAGGTTAAGATTAACTCTTTCAATAGCCCTCTGCCTCTTATCTTTGGTTATTTAAGGACTTATTTACATGTACTATTGCTTCCAAGCCATAGGAGATGTGACATGCATCCAGCAAATGTGACAATTCAGTCTTCAGATCTCACAGTTTAAAATGCAGAATAGAGATAACCAGCTAAAAGAGTATTAAGTAATATAACATGAGATACTTTCATGATTTTGAAAAATACACATTTTATTATTATTCTTTTTATTACTATTATTTTAGTGGATCTTTGTGTGTTTAACACTGTGAAAGGGAAATTCAGGGGAGAAAGGGGAAAGGAAAATGTTCTATTGATTTCAGGTGAAAAGCTTTTGAAAATAACTCTAAAATATGTGTTCATTGAAAGAAAAATTTCTTTTCAGTTCACTGTAGTAAAAACTGAGTAGAATTTATTTAAAATAATTCCAGGCCTATTTTAAGCAAGGAAAACAAACTGGCTAAAATACAATACGCATGTATTATTATATACATTTATTGCAAGCTTTTTATATATAAACAGTAGTGTAAAAATAGTGTAAAATACCATACAGTAGAGCAGACTTTATTACAGGTGTGTCAAACCAGATTTTCCTGTTTACAACCTTTGATCATTAACTGTTTCCATGTCTGGCAAAGGAAAAACCATTACAAGGAAATGAGTACTAGGATTCATTTCCTTTTCAGATTAGTTCAAAACTACAAGAAATTCACAGATTAACAGAACTCTATTTGTTTAAAGCCAATTAGGGGAAAGGAGAAAATGGACTATATATGATTTAGATTTCATAATAATTTCTCAAGTTTCACCACATATATTTGAATGAGAAATACATAAAATAATTCAGTTTATCTTTAGTTCATTGTTAATAAATTTCAAGATTGGATGTTCATTTTAACACTCAAATCCAGACTATGTCTTCCATATGAGTATTTATTGCAAACTATCCAGTGCACAAGGCATACATGCCTTGTCAGGGTGTTTTATTATAGCACCATTTCCTCCGTCAGTATCTGATGCTGGAACAGTCATCCACACCCAGATTTTTTGTCCATCTGCTCTTTCTACTAATTTTATGTAGATTTCTGGCAAACAGGCTATTAATGTTATTATGATATCTTACACATCCACTTTTTTTTTGTACTGTACATTCTTAATCAGAACAAACAGGCTAATAAATGAATGAACAGAGTATCAATTGTTCTCTGAGTTACAATTGCTAAGGTACAGTGAAAATTTTGCACTGCTATTCTTATAACAAATTTTCACATAAAAATGTGGAATTGAAAAAATATTTCTAACTTTTTAAAATAAAAGCAAAAAAAAAAAAAAAGCAGACCAGCATGATAATATTTAACACTGCTGAAATTACATTCCTATTGAATTGAAAACTCCTGAATTATGGAGGTATTGAGCAAATAGAAAATGTAACATTTTCTATGAAAAAATGAGAGTAAAAGCAATATTCAAGAAGTTTAAAAGAAAAATTTGGCACATAATTCTTCTGAATTAAGATCTTAAAGTGCCTCAGCCAGACAAGATATAATATGTTGCTGCAGGGCATCATCACGTACAATTTCAAGTTATAGTATCTAATTAGAGACAAGGAAACATTTTCAATACATTTCATCATCAATTTTAAGAGATGTTTCTCTCTGTTTTACATTTTCCACCTCTTGACTGAAACAGATACTCCACATTTTTCTATTTTGTTAATTAGGGGAGGTGATGTCCAACTGCATACATGGTTATAATAGTCATAGCAACAATTACAGCCCAATATTTTTGCAAGATCATCTCAGCAAGGCAGGAAGAAGTTATATGAGGAAGTTTGAAAGTCTGAGAGGGGCTCTCTTCTCCTGGTTATGTTCTAAGAAAGACTAAAGGTCAAGTAAATGCAAGAATGATTAAAAAAAAAATCCACACTTAACTGTTTAGTATTAGGTACATTAGCAAAAATCTCCTTGGGTACATCCTGGTATCTCCTATGTAATACAAAACCTACTTGCTTAGGCCTCCTTTTTCTTCTTTATAAGAGGATGGTTAAAAAAGGTTTCTTTGCACTACATAGTCTGCAATTTTACAACTACGCCTGCAATAGACTTCTGCTTTGTCATTTTCTTTATCATTTGTTTCTATAGTGTTTTATTTCAATGATATTTCTAGTCAATTACTAAAAGTTATTTTGAATTTCTGAGTGCATTTGTTACCTGATTTTTTTTATAGGCATGTTTTCCATGGGATAAAGTAGGTGTTTTCCCTATTTCCATTTTTCTCTGTATTTCCTTGAAGTTCCTTCTTCAGGCTCTATGCCCTGCTCAGAGCTGCTCTATGGTGTGGTCCTCTTTATATTGTTCAACATTGCTTTCTTCTGTTTTATAAAATTGGTCATATTTGAATGAAATTGATCAAAAAATATTCTTCTCAATTATAGGAAAGAAACCTCAGCATGAAACCCACAGATCAAAGGAAAAAAAAAATTATGATAGCAAGAAAAACCAAAACCATTCTTCTTAGAGTAATCGTAGTAGGTTGTCAGTGGTTCTTTTAAAGGCACTGATATCATCTGTTTCTTCAGAAAGCAATACCATATTATAGGTATCCTTGTCAACCTTTCCCTTTGCCCTTGTCCAGCCTTTTACACATTAATTTAAAATGTGTATAAGAATATATTTTACTTAATTCCTGTTTTGTTGTGAAGATCAAGCTCAGAGTGAGTCCCCAGACATATGGTCAAATGTTATATCATACCATCTAAGAAACTGGCTTTCACATAAAAATGGCCACTTTCTAGAATGCATTTGTGTTTGTATACATTCAAAGTCCTCTGAAACTGCCCTAAGTATACACAGATAATACAAATAGTATTTAGGTACATTCATAATTATTCTTTAAAGCATCTGCAAAAATAAAAAGGGGTTAGAATACATTTAAGCCCTTTTTTCCCTATATGGACATATTTTACTAGCTGTTTTGCAGGGTACAACCACAGTCTATCAAAAATGACTTTAGCTGTCAAATTTTTACAAACAGATTAAACCTGGTAACAGACTGAAGATCTTTATATATACATACGCAGAACATAGTTTTTAATTTGCATTTTCATCCATTTTGAAATGTGACAGTGTGCTTCCTTGCATCTTATTTCCAGAATTTGCAATTTTATCACCTTCTGATCTCCATTTTGGAAATACTTGATAATCTTCTCCTTTTAATTTACTTTTTTTTTTTTTTTTTTAAATAGGTATATTGGCTTCATTTCTTTCTGATCTCTGCAATTTTTTCTCCCCTTTTATTTGTTTCCATTTCTTCTTGGCTCTGTTGTCAAAATAAATATATCAAACATCATCATATAATTTAATCTGGTAAAACTATGCACTTTCAGAGACATTTAAAGCATTAAATCTTAAATGTTTATAAATGTACAAGAGATATGCATAATTTGCCCTAATGTAAATTCATCCATTTCCAAAATGTTCTGCAAAATTATTTTTTTCTTGGAAACCTTCCCAAGTAGATTATCTGAGAATCATATAGTAGTTGCATGGTAGTAACCTACATATGGTAGAACCCTAGTGATAGATAACAGAATGTGGTTTTGGATGATTTAGATCTATATAGAACCTCAAGAGAATTCTGCATCTCCAAGTGGAATCAAAGTGGTGTAGATTCCTAGCACAGAGCTAGCTGGGTCAATTTGTATTAAATAAGAGGTATTAAGAAAAACAGTGCCACTGGGAGGGGTCTGAAATGCAAATCAAAAAGTTGCATTTTTTTGGCTCATCCTCCAACAGGAGGATCCTCCTTTGTATCCTTTCAAAGACCAGAGTGGTTACTTAGTAAAAGTGTTACTGATGATAACAAGGAAAGGATTTATCCAGGAAAAAAAGGCAGTGTTTAGTAGAGTTCAAACTCATCTCATTTTCCCCTTTCAATGTAGCGCTTTTATAGCAAGGTAGAAGACTAAGATTGCAAGAACTGAGAGGCTGCTCTTCTATTCCACCTTCTGAACTGTGCCACTATACAGCAAAGTCTCTTACTATGTCAGTGGAGGAAAGAGATGGAAGATATGGAAGAAATGTCACGCACATCTGGCCTTTCATTTGAAAAAGGAAGACTGAGGTTATAATCTCTGTTTCCAAGACAGATGTAAAATGTATTGGTGATTCTTAGGGTATCTTCTATATATTTTGGTAGTCTAAGTCTTCTTAAGAATATGAACCTAGGCTGGTTATCTTTCAGTAATTGAAGGTAGTTCATGACGACGTAAGTGAAGAGGAAGAAAGACTCCTATCTCCACTTAGGCAAATTTTAACAAAGTTGCTTTGGCCAGTGCTACAAGTGAAAAAATACTTTATGCAGCTCCTCACTTAAAAGGTTGGTACAAAGTTTGCTTTCACAGCAATAATTTTGAAAAAAAAAAAAAATCAGAAATTATGGGTTACTTATCTATATAAAAGTATAAGTCTAGAAATGGAACTATTAATTTCTTCAGAGTATTCAACATCACTTAGAATCTTGCAGTCTCCTGTTATGGAGGTGTTGAAGGCAATTTCATATTTTCTATGTGGGAATAGATATACCATCTTTAATAAAAGGACTGAATTGCAAATATTTTTATGCAAGTTACCTGAATGGTGGATTTCAGCTTAGAGAATGTTTTTGCACGTGGGTTTCTTTTCCTCCAAGTTGGTGTATTATAAGGTCCTGAAGCATTTTTGTCTATAGAAAAATACATAAATTCTTTTATTTTCACTTAAAATACCAGGAAAGAGCTTCTTAGCTTGTTATATGAATTAAAAGCAACATAAACTGATAAATAAACTGATGAATAATGCATTATCTCTAAAATACATCCTATCACTAACTTATTTAATAATAGCAAACATAAAAACTGACTAGTATATTAACAATAATTTGTAATCATGTATAATTTTCATTAGGCTCTTGGGATCTTCCAAATGATCTTTCCAAGGACATTCTTGGTTGATAAAATAACTGTAATTTTGTTGAAAATCTTCCTAGTGCATAAATTGCTTTTAGATTAAATAAAACTATAATCCATGCTCTAATTTTTGTGCAAAGCCAAATTTGGGGCTGGAAAATTTCAAAGCAAATGGCTCAGCTACTACTGAAAAGAAAGGTAGTAAAAACTGTATTTTTTGTCTTTCTGATATTCTGATATTATTTATTTGAAATGTTTTATCTTTTTTTAAAAAATGATAAGGTGTATTCATTTTATTAAGAATGCTCCATTTGCAGGAGAGTCATAGGGCATCTGAGAGCTTCATTAACATGAATAATAATATTCAAGTCACTCTTGTAAAGTGAAGGTATCCCCAATAATACAGAAATGAAACTTGGTGAGCAGACAGCAAATAGATCCACTGATTTTGGTCATTCATTCTTGATGGTCTAGACTCCATTTTGCTATTTAGCTAGCATTAAAGTAGCACTCTGTGTGTTCAAAGCACAAGCTCCCTTGATGCATGTTTCAAGAATGAGAGATCAGCACTTCTACAGATTAGACTATGCAGTGAGGTTAAGAATCTTTCCACTCGACTGTATTCATCTTGAAGCAAGAGATATGTGGTCTAAAGAAGGTTCCTTTTATTGGAAGTGAAGGGCACTTGAAGGTAGAGATTCAACCCAACTTAGGAATATAAAATTGGCAAGGTGAATCACTTTCCCCATGTACACTTATTTAAATTAGTTATTGCTGAATTTGCAGCTGGAATAACAGAGGAGAAAACAAACTTCATTATCCAAAGTCACCATGGAGACTGGAATTAAAAAGGCAAATAAAAGATAGATTATGGTACTGCATTGTGTATAGCAGTATTAGCGAGATTAAAAAAAAAAAAAAAATGAAAGTTGTAAAATCAAAGCTATACCTGAAGCAGACTGCCAAAAAGAAAGATACAAAAGACAGAAGACTCAGAGTCCCACCTGAAAGCTTTTTATCGAATTCCTGACATAGGAAGTACTGTTAAGAGGATACTATTTCAAAGATGGTAAAAAGCGAAGAAAAATGTTATCCTGAAAGGATATCAGGAAGAATGTATTCAGTCCTCTGTCAAATAGAAATACAATAAGGCAACAAGCCCACAGCTAGGTCTGAATGCATTTCAAGACTTTGCTTATTCAAGAAGAAAAAGAAGAGTCATAACAAAACTCCAGTAAAACACAGGCTGAGGAAAAATATCACACAAAGCAAATGCATTCCTGGATCCCCTGCTGGTAGGACAAAAGTTGAACAAGAACTATTTCTTGAAATAAAACTAAGATTCTACTGCAAATTACTTCAAGCATTATTACTCTCAATATTTTCAGTAGAATAGGAGGTTAGAAATGGACTCTTACAAGGTTTACTTAAACACTTCAGAAAGTTAAAGATGCTTTTCAAATACACTCTAGAGAACAGATGACATACATTCTTCATCAGGCCTATTTAGAAATTCAACATGAAAATATATAATTTTACAGTAAATTCTACTGTATTCAACATAGGATTATATTCACATTAATTCTTTGAACAGATGAGGGGGAAAAAACATGCAGCAAGCAAGGCAGGGAGGAAGAGAGAGAAAGGAAGAAGAGAGAGAGAGAGAGAGAGAGAGAGAAAGATATCCAGTCTTTTGTTCAGTGTTGTTGTTATGAAACTTCTAGAAAATGTCACAAGAAATGACAAAGATTTAAGTCTCTGCGCCAGATTCAAGTGAAAAATCCCAGTAGAATAGTAATGTTTCTTCTTAGATAAGCCTATAAAATTTTAACAGATAATTCACATAGTTTTTAAGTATTTGTGCATGCTTTCACAAGCAGATCTTCTTTTGAGAGTAGTCAAAACTCCTATGAACTATAAAATCTGGGGATATGATAGTGCACATAAGCATATCAATCAATGCATTCATCCTTTTTCACTAAGTAGTGAAGTGCATTAGGAATAGACATGGATTCCTGCTATGAAGGTGGCTTACTGTTCATGAACATGACTATTCTATTCTATGCAGCTTCTACCACATTTCTATCTATGGATATGACAACAACCTACTTGAAAATTAAGCTGGAACAAATTTATTCTTGATCACACTAAACATGAGGCTGCAGTGATAAAACTTAAAGAAGAGTTCAGTTTAAAGCTCAAAAATATCTTTGAGGCATTTTAAGCATCCTATGTGACCCTGAACTCACCCATAGAGCCATTGAGCTTTGGCTCTTGGAAGACTGTGACATTACGGTAAAACACATATGCTGATCTTCCAGGTTCTGAAGAATTCAAGTAAGTCCTTCTTCCAGCTGCTCTTACAGAAGGAATATAAGAAGCGCTCTCATCATCCTTAACTTGATCATTTCTTTGATAATTTGCTTTAATTTTGGGCTTTGAAGTGTGCATTACTATAAATAAAAAAGAAAGTTTACATTTAAAAAAAAATCTTGTGGTATTAATCAAAATTTGTCAAATCATAACAGATGGAAAGGCAAAACAAAATAAATACTCTTTATGGATAGCAGACTGCCCATATTTGATGCTATAAACAGCAATTAACTATTATCACATCATCTAATAGTTTAGTAAATTAAAATGAATAACCCAACCATTTTCTCAAAATACCTTTGCCTGTTACTGTATTTGGCAAGTTTCTTGTTTCCTCAGAAGTCCATTTCTTTTTCTTTACTCCTTTAAATTGATGTTTCTTTACCAGCTCAGTGAAGTTGGTTGCTAAGGGATTAAAATAACACAAATTTATTCATTTCAAAAAGCACACAAAATTTGCTTATCAAAAATGCTAACGTGTTTGCCGGAACTATTCTCCCATTTGACACACACTTCCTGTAGAAGAGTTCACAGTCTCAAAATCTTGACAGCAAACTCAAAACTTGTCTAAAAACACAGAGACCAACAATACCTGGAGTTAATGGAATTACTTTGATCAGTTCAGAATGTTTCTCATTGCAAATGAGAATATCTTCATTAATACTATATTTAAGGATTATAGTTTAAAACTACAGACATGCTTTAATCCACAGTTTTAACAAGAATCAAGAAGTTTCATGCAATTTATATGCATGTCACAGTGGAAACAAATGTTCCTCCAGAGTCCAAGTATAACATATAAAGCAGAACTCTATGCAGGTCCATTGAGTCCAAAACACCAGTGGTAACTTTGCAGCTTGAACTCTGTGTAGTTACCGGATTCTTCGAAAATAGCAACAACAACAAACAAAAAACCAACAAGCAAGTAAAACAACAAGTAAAAAGTTTGTTCCTTCCTTCTGGTGCTTAGTGTTCATCCCTTGCAAGTAAGGCTATGCTTTGTCTCTCTTTGCTATATTATTTCAGCTATTTGTTGCACTGGAAACTGAACTACTAAACAATATGGAACAAAAAGAGAGAACTTAGATTTATAAAAGGCTGATTTTAACCCTCAATAACTCCAGCAATTCATTTTACAGCATGGGCTCACACACAGCTGAACTGGAATTGGTGACAAAGCGACATAAAAAGCACTGCAGAAATATAAGCAAATAACTAAAGAACTTCCTGAACTAGCTAAATCTCTGAGGACAATACACATAGTGACAAGGGCGTACCTGGATAAAAAGCATGTTAGCATGTCTCATGAACATCTGTGAACACTGTTGTCTAATCCACTGTCCTCTAAGTGTTGCCTGTGTACTATCTGACCAGGCCCATCCTGTCACCACATTGTAGAGGCAATATGCAAATTACAGGAACATACACTCTTGGGTCTATGGAGAGCAATGAACTCCAAAGGACACCTTCTGGATGAACCATGATTTTCTCCAACAGACTCTAAGTCTAACTAGATATATCATGAATTTGCGCAGTTAGCTAATATAACAAAAGACTGAATCATTTTAAGTACATTATATAAAGTGTTACGTTCTTCTCTAGATCTTATTTCTTTTCATTTCATTCTGATTAATTTTCTGTGAGATCTAACCTAGTTACAAATATGTTTTACTTCATGGAAGCTGTAACTTCACAGAACTTCACATGATCAAACACGGGCTTCAGAAAGACTTTTCTAACTCCTGGACTGTTCATGCTCACACTGAATTTAATGGAGGATGAAAAAGTGATCACAAAGGGCAGAATTGGACCACAATTTGCAACAATTGCTATTGTCATTTAATGAAAGAAATCATATTGTTAATGGAAATTTTCACTTTAGACTGGTTATGCAAAGTATATAATGTCCAATCCACTCACAGAAGAACAAAAAAATCTGATCTAAAAATATATAATAATAATTACCTTTCACATTAGGATATTTTGATATAATTGGTTCTTTTTCCCCAGCTAGTGACTCACTTCCTTTTCCTTCACCAAATACGCTTCTCTGTGCCACAAAACAATCACCTCCTATAAAAAATGAGTATCACAAAATTGTTTATACAGAAGAATGCAGGGAAAATTTAAGTGTAAACAAAACTGTGTTATTTTTATAATTAATTTTTATCAAGATGAACAAAAAATGTAAAAAATAATTATATCAAATAACTGATACAATAAAGCCAATAAAAATTCTGATAAGCAGTCAATTAAAGAAAAGCTTTTTCTTCATATGGATATCAACAGAGATGCAATTATAGAATTCACTCATACAAGATTATCTACAAGAAACATGCACGCCATACATACAGGTCACAGGGAAAGAAATAGTGTGCAAGACACATTTGCACAGTGTAGTACACTTCTTGAGCTGCAAGAAGCATACTGGCTTGTTCAATGCTAGACAGCTTGTTCAGCACAGTACTGCATTATTTTGTATGGAATAAGTAGAAAAAAATATTCTCTTGCAACTAACAAATATTTTTTAAAAATAGCAGTATATACTGTTAGGTAAACATAAATTCATGAAGTATACAAGGTACTCTTCATTCTCAATGATATGATTCCATACTGAAGTCAATGAGGCAAAACACTATATCCTCATTAATGTCGACTGTTTTTGCGCAGAGGAATCAGCCCCCACAGTACAAGATGTACTGCTGGAGCTTTAATATTTCTCTACATGACTACTGAAAAATACAGAGCTTGTTCATCATAACTAGGAAAAGACTCTTAAAATACAACAGTTTTTAAAAATATATACATTTGTAGGCATATCTAAACTTGTTTTTCCATAATCTCAGAGAACGATTTCTTTTCCAAAATCATGGAGAAATAATGATCACAAATAATAAAGAGAAAATATTTTATTATAATCATAAGAGAAATTATAAACATTGTTTTAATTAGAAAATAAAAAAATAAGAATAACCAAAAAAATAAAATGGTGAATAGTACATGTGTATTCAGTTACCTTATTTATCAAAGGATATTCTGTAAGGAAAAGCATATACTAAAGCATATTACCTCCATTTTCAAATGTTCTAAGATCAGTTCTGGTATTATCCTCTAATGATACTGAAATCACTCCTTGTCTTTTTGATTTATTAAATGTCGTAGGAATTGTATTACCATCACCTGGAAAGTCAGCAGAAGAAACTTTTTAGCTGTTTTTGCCATTCTACTTCTGTCAATGAGTTAGTAATTAGTTTAGAGCTAATTTCCTTCAATCTCTTATGTTCTTTTATCTCTTGTAATTTGGATACTATTTAATGTACCTTAAGCACCTGAGCAGAAAACACACAGAAGTTTGGGCTTGAGCAGAACACACAAGTTTGTAAGTTTGTGTCTTTACAAAGGAGAGAGGAAATTGCTCCCCCTTCTTTGGCTGATGAGCTGGACAAAGGGACATAGGCAGGTGGGAGACTGAGAGGAGCCTGGAGTGAGGGGGACAAAGGAGCCAGGTGACCTTCGGTGAGAACACATAGAGGGAGACAGGGAGCTGGGTGTAGGCTGTAACTCCTGAGTACCTTGGCCAATGGGAAAAAGGAGAGGGCTACCTAGGCCAGGAAATTAGGATAAAAGGGGGGCTGCAACCTCCAGCAGCTTGAAGGCCCCCACAGGGATTATCCCTGGTGGACTCTCCCTTTATTCGAACAAAGTTTTAGGTCTCCTCTGTCTCCTTTTTGGACATTCAGTTCTTGTCATCGAAGATTTTCCGCACACACCTAACACATGGTCATTATGTTTTTAGAAATGTAATGATAAAGCAGACACTTCTCAATACTGATGATTATGATTCTCACCTGAGCTAATTTACAGTATTTCTAGCATACATGTCCCTACAAAACCTAAATCCTTAAAGAACTTAACCAAAAATAAATGTTTTACGGAGACATATTCCTCTTTTTGGAATGTGTAATTATACAAAAACTTCTCTATTAAAAGTTAGAAATATTTATGTGACTGATCTCATCTGTAGTCCAAATATTTCTAAATACTTGCCAGAAAACCTTATCAAAACTATTTTGTGAACATAAACATGTTAGAAATAAACAAGAGAAGAACATTTTTGCCCAAATATATCAAGAAATTTAAGCTTGAAAAATCTTTCAATCAAAAAAGGTGAGATTTTTTCCTTTGACAGTGTTTTATTAACCAATCTTCTTGCTCAAATCTGATATATATATAGCAAAGTTATCAAGACTTTATCCCTGAAATTTCCACTAAAATAAAACAGTGAGTTTTTATTATTAAAACTACCAGATCATTCTTCCTCCAGTAATTTTAAATGGCTCACCTACGAATTACTCTAGTACCTTAGAATACTAAAATCACAAACCTCTCTCAAAAGAAGGAATTATACTATCAGTTATTCCACAAAAAGTATGGATTTTTCAGCCATGCCACCTCATTGAAGAGTGAAGAGAAAAAATAAGGATGATAAATATTTACTAATTTTCATTTCTTTGACTTTAACTGTACTGGATAAGGTCCAAAATTCAAAAGAAAAGGTAACTTTGCTTCATAAGACAGTTAAATGGAGACTTATTTTGTCTAAATTTAGTTATCTAAAAGTCGCAAATAAAGCTAAGTATAGCCATCTAGATGCCACAAATAGAAAAAGTCGAGCACCTGTGGAAAGTTATTCATCTTATTTATCTTTGCCTTTATCTTCATCTTTGTCTTATGATTCAGTGAATATTCCAACAGGAGAACCTATCTCTTGCAATTTACACTAGGGAGAGACTATATAATAAATAGATGCCAACTTCAGGATGGCTGTTTTTAGCCTAGGTAAATCTAAAGAAAAAAATATATGAAAGACCTATGTAATGGATTTCAGGAAAGTATACAAAAGATAAGGGTCAGACTATATCTATTTTCTCTACCTATAATCAATACAAGTGAGTCACCAGTTGTCTGACCATATTTATGCAGGGAGAATTATTGAAGGATTTTCATGGAACTTTTTACAAGTAATCTGCTTTTTTCACTAATGAAAAGGGGGGAGGAGGAAGGCTAAACTATCTAATAATCTCTCCCTGCAACAGTAATTTTAAAAAGGGGTAAACACTGTTCAAAAAAATGAAAAGTACTTGCCTTTCTGCAAATCTCTCCTGACAGCTCCCAAAGGCAGTAGCTCATCTTCTGGAGCTGAAGACACTGTTTTTGTTGATTGGTGCTCCTGAAGAGACTGAATCCCATAATACTCTCCTAACAATATCCCGCAGAGGAAAGAAAAAATTACTACATTGGAAACTTTGCTGTTTACTAAAGGGTCATTAATTTCATATTTACCAGACTTATAGCACATTTCCTTTATTGCTCTCTCCTCCTCAATGTCTGCAGCAGTCTTGGCCAGCAAATAAGAAATATCTGTAGGGATTATTTTAAAAAGATTATTAAACCTCTACAAAGATCTTCAACATTGCTTAATGATCAAATATCCTAATGGATTTCATTTTAATCATGATTTTCTTCCCCACTGCAACCTCTGCTTCTGAGCAAAAAAACTATTTCTGACATATATATTTACAAGTCCAATGTAATTTCAGTTAAAACAAATATTAAAAAGCTAATGTTTGTTTATACAAAATGATTCAAAATCATCTTCAGTACTCATTTTAAAAATATTTTTGTTTACACCCAAAATACAAGTCCTTTGATGAAGCATATCCCAAAGGACTGCTTGTCACAATGACTCTGCCCTCTGTCTACTGGCAGAGCTGGATGGCTGTATCTCAGTTAAAGTCAATTGGATTAGCGAAGTCATTTTTTACCTTGTTTAATGTATTTTTTTCTGACTGGAAAAGGTTTGGGAAGCATTAGCAAGCAGCCCCTTCTAGCCCACCTGAAGGACAAGGAGGTGGGAGGCGAAAGGCATCTTGGGGCTGTCTGAGAACAGTAATTTGCAGAATGTAAATTGGTAGAATGCACACATGCCAGCTCACTTTGGTTTGCTAGGGATGTGCAATTCATTCAATCCCTATGAATCTCATTATATCATTTATCATATATTATTTCATTTATAAAAGATTAGTCTAGATGAGACAAATTCAAAAGTTTAACTACAAGTTTGATTAAAAATACATTTACTTAAAATAGTGAAGAAAATATTTGGAGCTGCGCAGACCAGAACCCTTTTTGTTTGCCATGAAAACGAAACAGTTCGTGAACTGCTACTGTAAAACCCTGTTAAATATTGTCTGATACAGTACTGATACAGTACTTGTTAAAGTTAAGGCACACAGTATGTTCCCAGCCCACACATCTATGTTACTGGGAATCGTGACACGAAAAAGAAGATAATCAAATATTTCTTCTTAAATAACAGAGACCTAACAGCTCAGACCATCCCTCATTCTTGAGATTCTGAACACAGTATTTGATGGTCACCTGAGTTGTGGATCTAAGTTTATACCTAAATTAATAAGAAAGAGGTGGTGAACTATATCATAATCATAACATCAACATAGATATTTACAGGAGTGAGAAATTCTTAGGGTAACTCATTTAGTGACTACCAGATTCATGAACTCAGGAACTAGAAGAAAATTGTTGTAAATACTTGGCAAAAAATGTAATAGTTTGGCTACTTGGCTAAAAACATTAGTCATTATAAAAAATCAGTTGTAAACAATATTGCAAAAGGATTGGAAAAGTCTCTTCTATTGTTTTATATAAAAAAAAAAAAAAACAAAATATGTTTACAATTCTCTTCCTCTTCATCCTCGTCCTCATCCTCTTGGTGGTTAACATTTATAATCAATGGAGGGTGAATAGGTCTTAAAATATTCTCTTGATTTTTGAGTGATTCTTGATCACAAGCTGGATGTAGAGTCCCCTCTTGGGCATACTGTTGCAATGTGATATCTACAGAAAACAGTATGATAATTATCTTGTTAATTGAGAATCTGAACAGCAAATGCAGGTTCACTTTAGCAGGTATAGTTTTGAAAACATTATCATATTTCAAGACGCAGTAATATAGTCAAATTGTACTTTTCAGGTAAAATACCACCTCTACAGAGTTTATCAAAGGTAAATCCTGCAAAAATATAAAGTATGGAAAGACATGCCCTAGCTGAATTCAAAGACATCACTGAATAAAGGTTTATGAAAAGAGGTGTATTCTGATCATTCCATTCTCCATCACATTAACAAAGGCTGATTATCTCTTTTAGGCTGGTGGATATATGAATTTGAATCAGTGACTTTCTTTCCTCCAATCCCTTTGTAGAAGTTTCACAATACAGGAAATACAATACAGAAAAATATGCAATTAGTAATTCCTGGGCTCAAGTGAGGAAGTGAATTTAGGAATCTGTGACTCCACATGGGAAAATCATATAAACATGCTTAATAATAAGCAGTTATGGAGAATATAGCCTTACCAAGCACTAGATTACCCATTTTTAGCTTTTTTTTTTTTTTTAAATCTATTTTTATAAATCACAACTCTGGTAAAAACATGTGCATGAATATCACATTAAACCCCTTAAATAAAACTGATCTGCAATTGTGAATTTGCCACATTAAAGGCAATATAGAACTCTTTAACCCAATAGACTTTCTCATTGTCCAGAATCAGGTTTTATTAGTTTTGGATAGCGGAAGACAAATCAAATTTTAAAAAACTTAAGAAAAAATGTCAGTATTAAAATTAATAAATGCTTGTTTAGCATTTGCAATGTTGTTTGGAGCTCATGAACATTTAAATTGTACCTATTTCAGGAAAAAAAAAAAAAAGGATTGGTCCCTTTCTCTAGTCTTGGATGTAAATGTGCTCTTAAACAGGGTTCATTTACCCATAGGTACATATGTATGTATGTGCCTGTACCTATGGATTCACTAGTACATATCGGGTATAGTTTCTGATTTATACCAGCACATATTGGGCAGTCTCTGAACCATGACATATGCAAAAACATGCCTTTTTGTTTACAGCAATGCTAACTGACAGGAGAGGTGTTCACAGCAATGCTAACTGACAGGAGTGGATGTTGGATTGAGAACTATATTGAAAGCCGTATAGACTTTGTTAAACAGGACTTAAGCTCCTGTCTTGGTCTTTCCAGTTAATTAGTCTCAACACAGTCAGATAGGAGAGTATAACTTCTCCTTCAAGAATTTCAGGTACACAAGGTGCTTGTTTCTTGGTGGGTATCTTTTTTGTAACATCAATACACATCTCTGGAGATAAAGCCAGTGAATAACTATAATTTAGTCTTCCTGTACATGTGTATGTTGTAAGTCATGCAAACTCTTGCTGTCCTTCACGTTTCTCCCTGATTTCTGGCATGTTTTGGTTCCCTGCTCCGGGCTCCTATTCTTGTCCAGTTGTATACCAGGATTCTTATTCCCTAAAGTACATTCTTATGCCATATTTTCCTATAACTAATCTTATTCTTGGATAGAAGAGAAAAACTATAGCATCTTTAAGAACTATTATTGGGTTTAAATAGCATACTATCAATATTCATGCTCAGAAGAGGCATTCAAAATCACTGAAGAAGAAAATGATACTAAAAAAAAAGCTGTGCATGCAGCACTGGATTTTATGCTGTCTACATGAGGGACATTTCCTCTGCATGTAATTTAAAACTAATAAAATGCTCTATCAATACATATATAGCAACTACTGGCTCTTACAATCTCCACGTTCTTTTCCTCCTACATTTCATTCTCTTAAATAATTAGCTGGGCACTGATCATTTTCAGTATTTTACAAAGAATGAGCTAAAGTAGTAAATACCCAAGTTAAAATATGAAAAAATCGGTGTTAGTTTTTATGAATGTTTTATTAGTATTTCTAATTACTGACCTAATCTGGCCATCATCTTGAATTTGCCAGTAAAACTCATGATGTGTGTCTTCATGAGGTTTTTTTAGGGTTTTTTTTTTTTGAGTAAAATTACTTATTAAGCAGTACAGAACTCAAATTCATCTTCCATCTCACTTGAAATGTTGACTGAACTTTAGTTTCTGGGGCTGCACATGTATGAACACTGTGTGAAGCTGTGCTTCACAAAAAGGGGAGGTTAACTTAGTATCAGGCATTTATCTCCATAAAGTTTCTTTCTTTTTTTTTTTTTTTTGTCAAAACTTACTATTTAAAGACATGTAAAGACATTAATGCTTGCTTCATCACTGATGTGAAGAGATTCCCTTTTCTATGGGAATCCTTGGCTTTTGTAATGGCAATGAACTCTTACACTCATCTAGCTCCTTTTTCCCCCACCTCACACCTAAAAAACCAGAACTTAGCATACTTGTATCAGACATAGTTACTTATATTGTCAGTAGTTGAAATACAGTCATCAGTTCACAGTAGTAAAAAAGCATTTTTATGGTATTTCTGACATTAAGAGAATGAAGTAATTTCCTCAGAGAGAATGGGTGATTTCAAACATATTTGTAGAAAGCTTAATTGGCTTCCTATATAGATATATGTTTGAATAATGAAAATTTGTTTCTACCTAAATATATGAAAAAGACAGTGGAGAAAGTGTCCCGACAACACATGTAACTAATCTGCTGTAGAATTAAATGCACAACATTTGAGTTTGAATTTGTTATGGTCCAGGGAAGGAAAGTACTGTACTGTAGTCTGTAAAAAAACATTCTAGAGTGAAAATATCTTGCCAATTCAGAAGCTTTGAAGTAACTGACAAAGAACAATTACTACCAAAGATCACATGCTAACAGAAGATTGATTTCTCATAGAACAAAATCTTCAGACTAGATCTGATATTTTATTTCTTCTGTACTGCAGACAAGCATATAATACTACAAAAATACAGCACAGATGAAAAGGTAGTTTTAATTTTACTTGATGCATCTTAGCAACCTATATTGCCATGTCACTTCTTGCATGCAACTAATTTTTATGAACAATCCCAATGTGACAGCTAAAGAAATTCATATGGCAATCCTACTCAAATAGCATTACAATTCTTAATTTGCCTTGATCATTAGAATGCCTTAATTTTATGTGATAGGTGACATCTGTTCTATTTCCAATGGTATATTTCTTTACCTTAACATTATGGAAACACTAAAATTTAACTACAATTTTGTGTATTTACATTAACAACCAAATTGAGAAAATATTTTTACTCACTGCTACTAGGTGGCAAAAAAAGTCCATTTATATTACGAGGTTTGCTATGATGGAAGACACAACTGATCCTCACACAGCCTAATGGCTGAGTTTCCCAGAAACATGAGATGTTGTATTTTTGCTACAGGAGAAAATGAACAGTTTTCAGATATTGTAAAAATAACAATAAGGATGGACCACATAATGATTAATACAAGTGGCATTGTTGTAAACATATGACTAAGACCTCATGACATGGAATTCTAGTATTTTAGAAAAGTTATCTACAGCTAAATCAATGTAAAACTTACTCATGAGGATCAGAGTAAGTCAGTTTACCTACTGGACTGCAAACTTTTTATGAGATGCTGGCATCATGTATTCCAAATATACTTCATATCTGTATGCTTTATTTTTTTTCTGCCTAATGGGATAATCAGACTTACCTCAGATTAAATCTGTTGTTCAAATGCAGATTGAGTAGGTACAGTACTCTTATACTATTACTTTCTTCTTATTAAAGGAGTTGGGATTGTGCGAAAACAGTCATTAAAAACAAAAATCAGAAAACTGCAAATTACAATCTGAAAGAATAAAAAGTGGGGAGCCTGTAAACCTTGCACAGGATTCTCAGACTTGGATTTCAATTTGTTCCATTTCATGTTTGAAGTGTCAGTTCAGCAAAGGTATGCCCTTTCTGTTTTCAGACTAAGACAATGTGCTTCAAGGGACTTGCTAGTCTTTTATTTCTATATGTCTAAACATGTAAAACAGATGTGAGCACTTCCCCTCTCTCCATAATGAGCACAAAGTGTCACAACTAATAGGCTTTTCACAGTGACAGACTGTGAATCTGGAAACCTAGTGAGAAAAAAAATATATGACTTTGAGCTGTCACTCTAGATTCCCTTATATCAGTGGTTGACTTAAATTGTATATCTTTCTTTTTTAAGTAATGAGGGAGATAATACAGTAGCAACAGTATTATGGAACAAATATTGCAAGCTATTGAAACCCCCCAGATTAGCAGTGCTAAGGCTGCAGGTACTATACCATTTGCTACATCTCGCAGCAGTTTTTATATAATGATAAATAAGGGCATAATGGAAAAGAACGAATATCTGCATGGTGTCTTTTCATGACTGCTGCTTTTATCCACGGTATAGTGTATTTCTGCTTTTTCTCTATTGATCAATATTTTTTCTAGTTCTGAAAGGCTATGCTGTATTACATAATGGTACTTTTCCTAAAAGCCTCATTTACGTTAATCAAAATACTTTTTCTTTCTGCTATATCTCTGCATTAACAGAGTTTGCAAAGTTAAGTATAATTTCTGATTATGCAATTTACTTGACTCCACAATGCAGTTTTTCACTATAAAGTACCATTTCCTTGAGGTATCTTCTTCACTTTTGTGATAAACACACTCATTGCCCAGAATATGGAAAACTCAGGTTTATTCCCCAGATATGAGCAGCTGAGTGCTACAAATGCCAGGCTACTCACAAATTCTAAATGCGTGTCTAATTTTTCATGCAAAAGAAAAATATATCTAAAAAGATTTCAACTCTCCCTTAAATATATGGGGATATTTTCATTTACTTCTGGGAGGTAATTTTGCACCCTGTTACATACATTGATAGTTGGATCTGAGAGTGACATCTCTAAACCATGTCACTTCAAGAGTGTAGACCATACAACTGGGCTATATACTGGGATGCTTGAATTTGTAGCCTGTCTCTAACACACTAACTAAATCTCTGATGCTGAAATGGATGCAGTAACAAGATCCCTACATGGACCCTTTAATTTTTACCAGATAGGGTAGAAATATTTCTCTGAAGGGGGACATCACTGTGAATGACTTTGATTTTAAGTAACTGCTTTTACAGAACTTCAGGCAGTCAGTATGTGCAGAAATTATAAATATGTTTATTCAGAATTACCATAAAACTGATCCAATTAAAAACAAGTTATGAGTGATCTCTAATGTATTGCTTACAGATTTTTCACTCACACTTGTTTGAATATCTGAGACCAATACTTAGGAGTAATGAGTATCTAACTTAAACTACCTCTTCTCAATTCTTCTGCAAATCAGGTATTTGATTTACATATGCTGCCACGATCCAAGGAGAGTAACACATATCAGTGTTTAACCTTACACGCTAAACTTTTCTTTAAATATTTATGCATAAAAAAACTTAAGGATGCAATATTTACCTTTGTACAGGTTGAATAGGCATAGCGATCATTCCCAATCTCCACCATTTTCACCTCCTGTGCTTCTAGGCCACTCTTTGTATAGGCAGAGTACCCACAGAAACTTAAAAGATGTCAATATACAAGAAAATCTTAAATTTCTCCTGAAAACAGCAGTTTTCCTTGAAAACTGGGTTTTCAGAACCTTAGCTCTTTTTCTTTTTGAAACAAAATTCCAATTGACAACGTATCTAAAAATTATACTTAGAACTAAGTACAGTTAAACAACCAAGGTGGTACCTTCTCCAGGTTTACTGAATTGTTGAGCACGGTTGCTAGAGAGGGCGGAACACTGAACTTCTGCGGGGTCCCACTGTTCCTCCAGTTTTTGTGACATCAGTGTAATGACATCATGTGGCTGCTCCAGCTTGGGCACCTTCCTTCCTTCCATTGCTCCAAAAAGACAAACTGTGGTCTAAAGAGTCTCCCATGCCAGTGCTTCTTTGATGTAAAAGGGAACAAATCCATTGACAACTCTTAAGCATACTCAATTTCCATGTAAACATTTGCTTCAGGATTGGTAGCTTTGGCTATTATTTCAGAGCCCAAATACAAACATTAGTTAGACTAACTTTAAAAAAAAAAAATTGGAGGTCTAATGTTTTAGCATTAATTGCCTTTTCTTGCCTTTTCTTGCTAGAACCAAAGCTAAAGCAGAAAGAACAATGTACACTAGAGTCACTAATTAACATGTCATTCATGTCCTAAGCTGCCTTTGACCAAAAACTAGAGAAGGGTGAATATGCCCTTTTAATCTTGGAAAATGGTAAGGCGTACTGTCAATTTACAACATTGAGTGTCATCACTGACTTCAAAATAAACATTCAAAGCACTCAGAGCAAAATCTCTGGCTTTAGAAGCAAAACTTTGAAGGAGGAGCAGAAAAAGAGCAGCTAGTTCACTGGACAAGGATGCCATAACTTTGAGTAAAAATGGTGCAGGAGATATAGGAGAGAGGTAGAAGGTAGGATTTGTGGAGATAGGGTAAATAAAAAAGAAAGGCAGAGATTCATTCTAATATCAGGAAACCTAGGTGGCTGGCATATTTCTTTCCCCCAGAATAGACAGGCTTGTAACCAGGGTATACTCAGAGTTCTACTCTCCATCTACCAGAGATGAAAGGCAGCTGTAGGTGACCACATGGAGATGAAACTGGCTAGACAGTGATTACACCCCAGCTGGGGAAAAAGTACAAAGAAGTTCAAAACCTCAATTTTTTTTTTTTTTTTTTTTTTTTGGTTTCTACATGAAGACCATTAACCTGAATATCAAGAGATAGCCTGTAGACTAACAGTACAAAGGAAAATACGTGGAGGCCTGAGCACCTTAACTTACTAAAATTATTTATGAAGTACGGAGTTTACATCAGTACAGCACAGAATTGCCATGCGGGATCAAGCTAGATAGGAATTCCTAGTGAGGGCTTTAAATACACAAACGATGCAGAACATCTCCAAGACTTGTGCCAGACCCACATCTGACTACAGTGTGCAGGAGAAAGAAAACTAGGGAAAATCAAGTCAACAAACAAAGAATTATCAGTGGGCAGAAATAAACAAAACTTAAAAGAAGTTAACATTGTCAAGACATATTCGAGCAGCAGACAGCTTGTAGCTATGTAGCTATGGCTGAACAGGACACAGAAGAGAGCAAGGTGAGGAAGAATTTAGTCAAATATTGCCTACAAATTCCACGAGCTACAGCACCAGAAAAGGGGACTTGATCTGACAGAGGTAAAACTGGACGTAGAGGGTAAAAACACCTGATAACAGACTCTCCATGCCAACAGTCTGATAGGGAATAAAGGAAAAAAGGAAAGGAAAAGAAAAGGCATAAATAAATGAACCAGCACGAGGAACCATCTACCCTCCCATGCAGCAAACCGCCACCCTCGACCCCTTCCCCGGTGCCGCCCCCCCACCGTCACCAACGGCCGCCGCCGCGCGGCCACCGGCGCCTCCCGGC